TAATCTCTTTATTACTGTTTGAAACACATCTCCTCTCATAGGTTGTTCATCCCATTTTGGACTCTCTCGCGTATTTATTCGTCCTTACCTCTGCCTGATGACTGTTTTATAACTTGATAAAGACCTTTAAATATTTGCGCGGGCTTGCGCGATGAACGCTGTCCCGGATTTAATATTGGAAAGATTGGCGTCAGGAGCGGCTAAACAAGCAAACCGAAATTCTTGCTTCTAATGAAGACGGCACGATCATAAGATAGGAAATCCTCCAGGCCAAGAATGTTTGTGCAAAGTGATTAAATTATTTACATCTAATTTGACATGCACTATAAATCTGGTACTTTCTCTTAGAAGCAGCATGTTAGTGCACATGAATCCTCCCAGCGTCTTGCCTTCTAATCGCGTGGAAAGAAAATTGAAATATCCCGGGCATGATCTGTGCAGAAGCCTAGGTTCATTGGTCGCCTACTATTTCTACAAACTCTCTGGCAAAATCACTACCATATAGCCTGGTGTCCTTTATCCAAGAAGCGAGGTTTTGATAGAATTTCGTTGCTCAGCCACTATGTTTTCGTAGTGGCGCGAAGGAACAAAAAAAGAGAAAGAGAGAGGGAAGCAACGGTTTTTGCAGGCTGATATTTTTTTTTGCAATTGCAATATTTTGTTGTGTTTAGGTATGCTTTTGTGGTGTAAACAATCTTACGCACTTCCCACAAATATTTCATTGTCAACGACAGTTGTAAAGTATTACGCAGTGCCTCGGGTGCTTTGACCTTACGCACTAGAGCGTCACAGGAGCGAGTATTTCTGCAAAATAAATACGAGGAGCTATTTCTCCCTTTGAATCCATCACTTTTGTGGAATCACGACGAACACACTTTCACCATGAAATCGTAACAAATAATGATTGATGATGAAATTGATTGGGTCCCAACAGTGGAGCCACATTATTTAGGTTGCAAATAAACTGGGCGTCAATCATGCGATGTGTTTACTTCCACGTTTGAATGTGTTGAGAATGAGTAGCCAAAAAACGCCGTCTGCAGGCTGCTTCCTGGAGTGGCCTGATATCTCCAAAACTCGGGAAGGGGGGGGGGGGCGAGAGAGAGAAAGGGGTGGATGTTGTGGGAAGGTGATAATATTTATTCTCACTTAGGAGAGTCGCCGGTCGTTAAAAAGTCGACTCGCCCATAACGGGAAAACCTGTAGGGCCACATGTATAGTAACCATGAGTAAACTGTGGTATACAGCTATGTTACTGAGAAGTTGCAATAGAGCAAACGATGGGGCATTGTGGAGGCAAGTGAAGCAAAGACCTATCTTATGATCGTGCCGTCTTCATTAGAAGCAAGAATTTCGGTTTGCTTGTTTAGCCCCTCCTGACGCCAATCTTTCCAATATTAAATCCGGGACAGCGTTCATCGCGCAAGCCCGCGCAAATATTTAAAGGTCTTTATCAAGTTATAAAACAGTCATCAGGCAGAGGTAAGGACGAATAAATACGCGAGAGAGTCCAAAATGGGATGAACAACCTATGAGAGGAGATGTGTTTCAAACAGTAATAAAGAGATTAGCGAAAGCCACTTGATTTATAAGTTTGGGAAATAAATGTATTATCGACGACCTGAACCTTTTATTGCGCAAGCCAATCCTTGTGCAGACACGGGGACGGTTCCATCAGCCGCGCGATGCCAGCAAGCGGCTGCTGGTACGAACCCAGCATACTGCCACGACCCCTCGATCTCCACCGACCGAGCGGCCTCGGACCTGCAGCTCATGAGAGAAAGCGTTCGGTCGTGCTGGCTTCCTCAATCTCGCGGATTGAGCGTGCCCGCGTCGACGAGGGAAGACACCTGGACGTCTCAAGGTCGTTGTGGCGCTCGCGGCTAGCTGCTCATTTCGCGCTTTTTGAGGATTATCCCTACAGAAAAAGTCGACACAAAAGAAGCCCCTGCCGTCACATAATTTTTCGGAGAGGGTGACAAGAGGAGGGCGCGAGGGGCATTTTCCTACCTTGCGGATTATGGTTTCGTTGGTCATCTTTAAAGCCTGGTGGGCAAGGAATCAACGGCTGCTTTTTCTTCGCTCAGGGGCCGAAAGCGGAGAGAAAGGAGCCGTCAATCTGTGCCTGTCAGGTGAAACATTAGCAATGAGTAGTCACGACACAACTATCCTTCTAGTTTAGAAAATAAAATAATTTCCTTTTTAACTTCATCAGCATCCGCACGAACCGCAAAATGACTTGCCTGTGCCGAGTGACATGCTGCATCCATCAATATGTCACCGTACCTTTTTGGCATATTTTTGATTCCAACTAGCCAGTGGTTGTTCGAAACGATACCTCTCTTTTTTTCTGTCCTTTCTTACCGTTGGTCCTTTTCTTTTAAAATGCCAGTAGTGACCTCGCTCTATCGATATCGTATTTCTTGAATAGAAGTCCCAGTCAGGCGATGCCAATGCTGTTAGGCATAAATGAAGTATCAAAGTGAGGAGAGCTGATATCGAAACAAAGGGTGCAACAACCCTGCCATGCAGTAGCGGCACGTAGGATTATCACACCATATCCGCTTTTTGCATTACAGCCGAAAAGAAGAATCAGTGGAAGCAGCTGTGGCAAACCGCAACGCGTTTTTAGCTGTAAACAGTGACTGTATATGCAAGTCAAGAATGCACATGCGTAGAACCCCCTGCGAAAATCACTCCCGACTAGCAATTAGGCTGGGGGGGGGAGCTCTATCCCGAAAGAGCACCAAAATTCAAGATGGCAACGACAAAATTTTTCTACCAGAAAAAGAAAAAAAAAAGCGCAGTGTACACGGATTTAGTATTTTATTTATCTCTGAGAACATAGACTTTATTAGGCCAAAGATTTGTCACTGCTATGTTAATCACTTTCAAAACCACCAAAAGACTCCTCAGAGTCTGTCACAAGAAAAAGTTTGCAGCATTCCGCAGACTATGTGCCGTTGGCTATTTTGACAACCTCTTCAGAAAGAAGCCGGTTGCCAATGGCTCATTCTGCACTTCTTTCGCGCTCGAGGTATGAGTGCATCCTCCACGTTTTCGCTGTACACCGGCGTGCCGTTACTTAGCTTTCGTCGAAGTTTGACTTTCTTGTAGTTTGGCTGTAGCAAATTTTCAAAATTCTTGTCCCATTCCCGTATCCGGTAGAGCTTGATGTGTCGAGACGTCAGGTGTATGTTGTTCCCGTTTTCGCAATGCCATTGGACGACCTCAATTTTCTTTGCCGCTGTGAAAGAATGCATAGCCGACCTGACAACCCCAAAACAAAGCGACAGTGGTGCATGGCGACCGGGCAGATAGGGCTGCAAAGTAGGATTGGATTGGATTCTTGGACTGAATTTCGCAGGCCAGTGTTGCCTGGGCACAATCAGGCTGGTACGTGATACGGGTGTGGTGCGGGGAGGGGGGCGCTTTCCCGGAACAGCGAGGAAATGTGAAATTGGCAGTGAAGTTGGGGGGGACACTTGCTCAGAATTTCACGGTAAGCTTAAATTGTATCTTCATATTTTCTAATCTCTTTTATGCCTAAAAATAGTGCAACCAAATACTTCCCTAGGGTGCTGTGGGAGGAGGGTGAATACACCTTACTGGGCACTGTAATGCAGTGGCTTTGGCACTGACAGGTTTGACGTCGTTTGTGTGGCTGGATTCGCCGAAACCTGGGGTTTCCACCTTAAATTGGGTGAGGTGGCTGATGTCACCTATCATAGTGGAATACCAGGCAATCGGATGTTTTTTGTTGCCCATGGAGCTTGTTTTTGAAACTTAAAACAACATACAATGGTTCATCTGGTGAATCAATTAAAATTATGGCCACCCTCTGTATTGGAAAAAATGACCAGAGTTGATTTCATCTCATCAAATTGACGAGTTGTGTGACATGTGGACAAGTAAAGGAGAAAGACATTAGCTGGCTCAGAGCGTGTGAAAGGGTAGCACTCGATTGCCAGGCCTGCTCAGATAAACATGCATTTTTTTTTTGTCAAGCCTGTCTTGTCCTTGGAGGTGAGCTGTATGCACCGATTCTTACTGATGTCTGTGCAATGTGCGCCGTCAGTAATGTACCACTTGCGCATTGCAGAAGAACACTGGCTGGTGGTAATGTTGGCGTGGGAGTCTGTGTGTCACACCATCAGGAGAGAATTTGGCACGCTAGATAAACTGTAATAGAAGCGAGTGAAGTAGGCTGTACATTTGCTCTAGAAACATGTTTAGTGCAATATTCATTCTCACAAAAAATGTTACCTTCGTCTACCAGTTTAAAGTTTGAGTCAATTTCATTGCAACAAGTGTACGGCTGTTCTCTTTAGACCTCATACCAATTGTCATTATGACAAGCAAACAAAGCAATGCATTATCTTTTTATGTTTATTTTTTTTTGTTACTATGAGAATTTACGAAATAGCAAACTTATTGCAAATGTTTTCAGTCATCTTGAACACTACATTTGCTTACCACTTTTGAGTTTAATGACGAAAACACCATTTTTATTGCCCGGTTGTGGTATGTTTATGCATGTTCTGTACAGTTGTGCACTGTATCGTTTTCACTGGATATATCTGAAAATGTTTATGCAAAGTAGTCATAATGAACAGTGTATAGGGTGTTTTCACTGACGTGATTTCGTCCACCATTTTGTTGTTGCGATCTGTGTGGAATGTGCCAAACTCGAGCATTTCAAGGATTTACATGCCTTCTCAAATGCGTAGAGCACCGCTGACATCATTTCAACCGGTTACGATGTAATCCTTCAATGTAGTAAATTTGTTTCAAAAACCAAACTAACAACAAAATGGCGGATTGACGTCATGCGCAAACAACCTATAGTAGAGTGCCTTGAATGCATTTGTGACTGCTGTCTTTGGCCATCCTATGCTGCTTATGCATTTAAGGTAGCCCCAAAATGGTGACAAATTATGTCGCAGGAGCTGGATGCTGTGTTATGTCGCAATCCTAATGGTTGGCCTTATGTGTTCCAGCGAATAATAGGAAACACAAGTGTCGCTCTTGTAGCGTCCCAACTCCTGGCTGCTGAATCTTCCATGGACTATCAAGCTGGAGACGAGCTACAGCACAACAGGGGCCTACCGCACCCGCCTTCTGCTGCTCTACCACCACCAGGATCGTGGCATGGAACAGCATGACACTTCTATGACGTTGTCAGGCAAAGATAGAGGGAACTAAAATAAAGTGACGATGAGCATAGCACTCGGGAACATGTTCCAGGCACCATTAGAATGTGCTAGTAGAGGCCCATTGATGTAGCCCATTAGAATGTCCCAGTAAGGGCAAATACATCAGTAGGCCGATATTGGACCAATACACCAACATGCCTCTACTGAACCAAACACACAAATAGGCCTCTAATAAACCAATACACCAGTAGTCCTCTATTTGACCAATACACCAATGGGCCTCTATCGGTACTATAGGACCCACCTACTTTTTACAATAGGAATCTACTGGTCTATCAGTTTACTGGTTTATTATTGTAATTTTTGCTGGGGATGTGATAGCACAACATCTTTTATTGCATATGTTCTAATGTTAGCTGCATATGTTATGAGCCTTACATATTGTTTACAGGTGTACTTTGAAAATATTGAGGTCAGTGCCATTTCTAACTCCAAACCCTCGATTAAGTAATCTTGTTCATTATTTCGAGCAAAAATAAATTATTAAATTTAGTTCAGTTGTACCACAGCTGCTGCCCTTGCCAGGGAGAATTTATTTGAGGAAGTATAATATATGTAGTAGGGCCTCTCACCCTTGACATTTAGGCTGCTGCAAAACATGGCACCAGCTGTTTTGTGTGTTTTCTTTTTGAGGAACGTCTTTCCTGTAAAATCCACATTCAGGATCATTATCACAGCGAAATCTCTGGAGTGCTGGACACAATTTATGATACTTGGCATGGCACGGGTATAGTATTATATCAGTGCCCGGCGTCACTATTTTCTAGCACCGTGTTTAATGCACACCTTTAATGCATACCCTGATGATGGCCTTAAGACAAAGTACATTGGATAGTAATCACCCTACGTAAACAACATTTACATGCTGGTCCACGTCTTTCATCAGCCTGTATACGTAAATATCCCCATTCGATAATAATAAACCTACGTGAAAAACGTTTACACGCTGGTACACATCTTTCATGAGCATTTATGTAAATATTCCACAGTGAGTATTAAAAATTGGCTGTATTTTCACATATGTTAGGAAATCTTGGACTATGTGAACACATGTAAAAAAAAAGTTCAGATGCATGTATGCCCTCTGCTATTGCAACTTATTTTCATCACACTTCCGGCACACCAAGGAAGCAATAGACAATGTGTTTGATTTTACTTCAAACAGACCTGTTTAGCTGTGCAATGTACACTAATTCGGTTTGTACAGGCGAGTTATATGGCTAGTGGGACATAATTAGCATGCCGTGATTTCGGATAAAACCGAAAAACTCAAACAAACATTTGCCAATAAAATTTTATAAAATTAGATTTATCCGATAAACTCACACTTTTGATGTCCCAGTGTAAAAAAGGAAAGGAAAAGAAAAAAACAAATGCGTAAGCATGCCTTTCCTTTATCTGCTGAAAAAAGAAGTTGTCTTTCTTGGTGGCTGCATGCGATGAGTGATAGTCTTGTTGCATGGCGGTGTATATATCTGATGGGGATCGACAGTTTGCCGACGTTTGGTGTTATATTAAATCGGTTGAAACTTGGCGCTTGTCCTTGTCGTACGTGTCTTTTTTCGTCCTGTTTCAGTTCACGCCTTTTAACGTTTTAATCTGTATTCTGTAACTGAGTTTTGTCACAACACAAGGTCACTGTTCCCAAGGAGAGGTCATTCCTGTTTTTTTTCGAATCTCTGATAGTTGACAAAAGACGTTTTATTGTTTATCTTGTCTAGGTTTGTTGAGGACAACTGGTTATTATACCTCTGGGTCACGACAAAAGCCACTGTTCCCGTTTGCAGTTTGAGCCATACTCTTTGTGCTCCTTAGTCGGGGGGGAAGGTTTTGGTTTTTATAGAAGTAAAAAGTATGAACCAGTAGATTTTATGGGACAGTGTGCATGTGTCTGGGATGGGGGGGGGGGGGAAGGGAGCTGTCACTATCAGTACTGCACTTCATGCAGCCACAGGGTGAAATGGATGGGAAATGACTACATCTGGGTCTCTAGTGATTTTAGAGTATCAATGCCTGTTCCAGCAACACTTCTGTGTAACTTTTGTCATGGGAGAGTTGCGGTGTTAACAGTGGCAAAGACGCGAATGCCAAACCCAGCCGAATAAATATCATTTGATACAGGCACGTTCTTTTGAATTTAGCAGACATTTATGCCCAAATGGCATTTATTTTTATTTTCAATTTTCCAAAATTGGGATTACAGTGAAATTAAACTTTGATTTTCATGCATTGTAGAAGAATGGGTGTTAAATAGTAAAGTGGTAAATATAGACCGACACGCTGTTTACAAACAAGCACGTGTGTTCCCCCACACCAGGTGTGGGTACTGCGCGTGCACAGAAACCAAATTTGCGTGAGGTGAAAAGTCTGCGCATGCGCAGTGCTGTCAACAGCGCCATTGCAGCTGCGTGACTTCAGGGCCGCATGTGGGTCTATATGTTCTTTTTCCAGCTTTCCAAGTGTTGGTCCTGGAGAACCAGGCCAACATCATCACGCAGCTTACCGAGCTAAGGAAGAGTGTCGTGGCTACCTCAGCCACGAAGGTAGCAGTCGCGCTGCCTCCAGACGCCCCCACGCTCCCTGCAAGCACGTACGACGGCCTCAAGGAGGTCAACGCTTACGCTGCCTCGCAAGACAAGCTGGATGTTCTGGTGAGATTTTATGACAATTTCGGTGTATAGTTGCCATATTCAATGCGTAAATCATATTTGCACCAATTTCATGGTTCCCCGCCATCCTGGCAACTTAACTTTATCAGGTGCATATTTGTCCTGTGAATGACGGCCTGTGTGTTTGTGATGAAACCCCATGGTTTGACAGAAGGGCAATGAGCCAGATTTTGTGCATGTTTCTATCTGTTCGTGAATTCATAGAAAAAAGCCTCAGTGCGGGAAAAAAAAAATTGTTGTGCCCATTGTAATTTGTATTTTGGAATTGCAGTGGCTAAAATGTGCTTCAATTACAACTACAATTTAATTTTTATTCAGAAGTAATGAACCACAATAACGGATGTTTCAGGAAAGCAGTGAAGTAATGTTTTTTTTTATTATTGTGAATTTTTTTACGAGCTGATGTTAGCGGCTGTCATCAGCTCATTGCGAAAAATTTATTGCGCCAATGGAAGAGCCCACTGTAATGAGACATGACTAAGACCTTTATGGTGATATCTTTCTCAATAATAGTGTGATATGGCTTTTGCTCTATTTAAACCAATCTGCGACATAAAAGGCAGGCAACCAAGATGGAACAAGCAAACTGCTGGGTGGCTTTGCATTGACTAAAAGCTATTTACTGTAAATGACTTAATTTCAACCAGCACCTAATTTTTACAACTTGCATAAATTAAAAAAAATAGACCCTGCAAACATATTTTCCTGTGGTAACAAATCGATCCGTGCACTCATGCTTGTAGGTGATGGGCTGTGCCGTGCTTTTAGAAAGCAAAAAAGTTGTCCGGTATCAGTGTAATTGGTTGAGTTTTGAGTTTGACCAGATTCAACTTTTTCTAGCCTCTTGTGAAAAGTTTGACAAAGGTTCGATTCAGGTTTGACTGATATGCGCATGCGCGACAGGCTGGAACTCTACTTATGATTTCCGGTTGCTGGGCAATTCCATTCTCTTGAATAACGGTGTGCCACACCTGCATGAACTCGTCGTGGCTTGTAGACCACGTCAAATGCCAACGACAATATCGCCATCCATGATGCAGTGTCGCTCAATGAAGTCATCAAAAAGGGAACGACGCATAGCCAATAGTTTGGACAAAGTTGACAGCGTCACAGGCACCAGGATGCATGATTTGACATGTGCAGAAGCATCATGTTCGATGGCCTTCAGCAGTTTGTTTACGACCAAGACAGCGTTGCTCACTTCTAGAGAGCGATGCCTCTGAAAGGAAATTATATTTAATTGCGAACCAGCGCACAGGTAGGCAGTTGCTCAAAAATCCAAACACACAAAATAATGCACTCACACAGTGCTGTGTCAGTGTGTTTTCTGTGTGTTTGGATTTCTGAGTAATTGTCTGCCTGTGTGCTGGTTTGCAATTATGCCTTATCAACTCACCCAATCTGCAGTATTAACAGGAAATTACTGATCACTTTCCTGAAAATGAGGTTAAGTGGAAATGAAATTTCATCAGCACCTCTACTGCATGCACCACATTTTCATGTACTTTTTATTTATTTCAGGGCTTTGTTTTCCTTTTCACCTGGCAGGTTATTAGCTTACAAGTAAATATAGAAGTTGGACACATTTTTGTCATGTGTAGTCGAGGCCCAGAATTGTCATGCTTATATTTTATTATATGACTCTTGGGTTGTATAACGTTTTTGCGCAGCCCCCTGAAAGTTATATAACGAGGGTTCCAATGTATACAATATTGTTTCTCTTAGAATACACTTCAAAAAAGCAAACAGTGGATACCTCCTCAACTTGGAGGCAGATCAAGTACCAGAAAATACCAAGGGAGCACCCACCTTACTTTCACTGAGAACGGAGTTAATCTAAACATGCATGCTTGTCCACTCAAATCAGGCGCTTAACATAGAATTTGCAGATTTCCCAAGTTTGGGAAATGTTAATAGTGGGCACTTCCGCAGTATTTTACGGTAGTGCATTTCACCATGGGAAATGTACAGATTGCAAGATAAGTTTATTTATCTGATCATTAACTGAGGGCAATATTCTTGGGAAGTTCCGGTTATTAGAGGTCAAATCTCATAACTTTATACAGTGGAACCTTGAATATGCGACTTTCAGGGGACCGCGCAAAAGCGTCATATGATATGCGAGTCATATAATTAAAAAAATGATTACGACTTTGGGGCTTGGCCTCGCATGATAAAAATATGTGTAACTCCTTTCGTTACTTCTATGCTAATAACTTGCTGGGCGAAAAGAGAGCAAAGCTTTTAAATAAATGCAAATGCAATGAAACTGTGGCGCGATAAAGGCGCCAGTACAGATGTGTTTTCACTTCACGTGGTTTTTAGAAAATCGATCAGTGATTTTTTTTTTGCAGGCTGCACTCTTCAGAAGCAAGTTTGAGTAGTGCATGCAAAGAATAACGTTGCCACTGCCACTGCACATGCGCCTAACGCTAACCCCGTTTTGCACTTTGCGTGCACTATTTTATCATACATCATTTTTTGGAAATTGCATTCATGCGCAAAGAGTTTTAGTGCTCCTTCAAAGAGGATTCGCAATGCGCGAGAAGTTGGCTAAAGCCAAAACGAGCACTGTTAGAAAATGGCAGCTGCTGCAGCTGCAGGCTGTGGCGGCTGCCGCCGTTTGGGCAATCGTCGTGAGCACAATGTCGGCAACATCTTTGTGACTGCAGTTTTCAATACTGTACGACATTGCACTCTTATGGGAGGCACACGTCACAAACGCTTTAGAAGACTAGCAAGGTGGGCAATAATTGTCGGCTGCTTGCAACGCGCAAACGTTTCTTGGTGAAGGTATGGTGTGCGAAGGTCAATACACAAGACCTCTCTTGTCGAGGTGACGGAAATACAAATACATTTTTTAAATGTATCACGATACAGAGATACAGATACCTGAAAGTGTCTCCGAGATACTATAGTGATACATTTGTATCGTTATACTGCCCAGCCCTGGTTGGTAGTAATTCAGGATTTTAGGATTTCAGCTTTTAGTTCTCTAGTAATTGTTTTTCTTCTGTGTATTCGCTAGGTATTTTTGCATTTTGCCGCCCGTGCACAGGCAGGGTGAAGTGCTGAGGCTACTTGTTGCCACGTTTCGTTACTTGTGAACCCCATTATATTATTCCTGTTTCTATTTAAATCATTGTTTTATTTAAACTACCTTTATTTTAAAACTTGCGTTTCGTCTTCTTTATTGGCAAGAGCCATGGTGTTGGCCGGTCGACTGATTGTCAGTTCTTTCTTTATTTTCTGTTTATAAAGACCTCGCCACGGTGTAGGCCGGTCGACTGATCGTCAGTTCTTTCTTTATTTTCCGTTTATAGTGAACCACGAACCTGTGCGCGTGCGACGGCTTACAGCAATAGGTGGCAGCGCTGGCTGATTCACACCAAGAGCGTTCTAATTGCAAATAAACATCTGCAGGTTTTTGCACTCTATGACCCTCTTGGGATTTCATAAATGAATTCCCCAGATCAATAACTCTCTTGCAACCCTTGACCCACTCATAGATCATGACTTTTCTGATTGCGGATGAGCCGTCTCAAGAGATCTTGGAGCGACCTGAATAGCGCTGAGCGCACATTTGGCTGTCTCTTTCAAATTTTCGTACCGAAACTCAGGCTTTTGACCTTCTACCTTTTTTCTTTTGGCCCACTGAGCGATGTGCTATTAGTAGCATCCCAATATAAATTGATTTATTCCAGCCCAAAATTCGTTTCATGGGCCTTTAAGACAGAAACGCCCCAGCAGAAACTGACGCGACCACGACCTAGTTACGCATTTATTTTGATGTTTTCAAACAATATAATGCAACATGTCTTTGCAGATTTGTATTTACTGGTCATCAACGGCCTATCGGGTAAATTTTAAAAAAAAATCGAGAATGGTTATTTTTTTTTAATTGCCACACAAAAATTGCAAAATTTTGACTTTTTCCATTTTGACGATATTTCTGAGCACAGTGCAGAAAACGCTTCCAACTGTAGAACGCTAATTAATTTGTTAAAAGTTCACAAAGCATTCAACACTCGATGCAAAAGGTTTCAGCTTTAGAATATAAATTTAAAGCAACTTAAAAATTCGCCGAAAAATGCCTCATTATGTAAGATTTGCTCGAGAAGCCAAGTTTGGCATTTTATATCCCTTGAAATATATGGTCATATAAGTTAACTGGAACTAATTCTGGTAGTAAAGTATGCCTGCAGTAAACGTAAAAACTGTTGACTGTGTACAAAGCTGCACGCTTTAGTCCTCCAGCCTTCAAAGTTGCGTCATTGCGCAGTTGGGAAAATCGCTTTTTCAACCTTCTCTCGAATGCGATTCTTCTCACGAATACAAGGACGTATCTTGCAAAAGTAAGGTCTGTCCCATTATTTGGACAAGTTTAGCTACCTCATATAAAAATATGACTGAAAACAAAAAATATTCATGACACCACCATGACCGTCCATATCTGAACACACCCTATGGCAAAACCTTGAGACATGCTTCGAACTGATTTGTGCATGAATTTATGATTTTGTTTTCCAAGTCTGCCAAATGGAGTGGGCCCGGTAAACTATGCACATGAATTCAGAAAAAAAAAGAACAAGGAAATGGAGGCTATGGGATTCTAAATTTAAGTACTAGTTTAAGATTCTAAACTTCGATACCAGTTCAGGATTTTAAACTTCAAGACTTGGTGCGGCCGGGTCTGCACCAAGTCGTCGTACAATGCGTGACGTCGCAGGAGCCGGGGTTGCGTGATCAGGGTTCTTCTGTAGCAATAAATTCAGTTAAAAGGTCATTTTTGCCCTGCACCTGGAATCTAGCAGTTTTACGCAATTTATTTTGCGGGTTTTTGACTTTTGGGATGGCAGCACAGAGCAGCGGTGGCCACATTTCAGCTGGTGAGCTGCCTGTGGCTCTTTACGCGAGCAGGTATGGCTCGCAGCTCCCTGGTATGTCAATTCGCCCCCTCCCCAAGACCACAAGGGAAAAGACATAAAAGAAAGGGCAGTTTGTGTTTTCGCAGCCCAACCTCAAGGTGCTTGTTTCACAAATGGGGACACGTAACAAAGAAATGTGATGAACAGCTGCTTTATGACTGGAATTCGCTGTGGCTATAAGTGAGGTGAAAGGAATTAAACAAGTATAATGCCTCCTGTTTACCTTTTTGCTGCGACTCTTGAAATGGTTATTTTTTTATGGCTCTTCACTCGTGTCCACAACGGCCACCCCTGGTTTATAATGTTTAATAAAAATAAGATTACATATATAAAGCCATACACTACTTTTGAGAAGGCAGTATATTTGAAGCTGTACCATTCCAAGATAAAAAATCGTTCAGCCTTTCCAGTCTCGTGAAGAAGAAAGACCAGCGGAGCTGTACTCGATACACTCTGTGCTTCTTCTTTGTCGTCGTCTGTTTTTCGCGCTGTTTCCTACGATGAATTCCCACCAACGTGCCCAACTATCCATTCTTCTATTATAGCTCGACAGGTTGGCGCCATCTACGAGTGACGGCGGAAACCACACTGGTTGTGTGCTTGCCGCCGTCGCTTATATATGGCGGTAGCTGTCTAGGCAGGTTTGTGTCGACATACCGGACACGATCCTAAGGAACCTAGCCCTTAACAGCTCCGCTGTAAAAGTTGCCAAAAGAAGGGTGGGAGTTATGAACATTAGACAGCAGGCCATGCATTGGATTGGATTGGAAAACCTTTATTGCCAACTTTACCGGTATAATCAATGTGCTTTGATGTTTACTATATACACATTTATTTTAGTGGTCAATCATACCAGACAGAAATCATGAGAAATCGTGTAGTCTCCTGAAGCCTCTTTAGCATAATATGCAGGGTGTCTAGTGACCGGGAAAACCAGGAATTGTCAGGGAAATTTTAATTTTCGAGAAAAATCGGGGCGTTGTCGGGGAAATTGTCAAAAAGCGAGCCCAGTCAGGCAAAATGAGCCGGAAAGGCCATCGAGTGCCCTGAGCAAAGACTTGAGGACTTGGGGGCAGAAATATAGGCAATAAATTCTGCTTAGAGTGAGGCGTGAGCTCTGCTCCCCCGATGTACAGTGTGCTGCCCAATGCAAACAGAACCGACAAATCCAGTCGAAGCAATCGATTGGATTGAGGGCGCGACACTAGGCTAGATCCAGTTAGAGCCTCCTTGTAGTAGATATGGTAACAAATGGGAAAGCCGCAGACTCCAATCCAAGCCTTCAGCCGAAAGTATCCGAAAGTGCGTCTGGCGGCCATGTTGCCATTTGGTTATTGACTAGTGTGGTTGAGCGTCGTGTTTTCATCGTGTTTCCGGAAGTGGCCTCTTCACTGACGATGTCAGCAGCAAGAAAGTGCTTGTTTAACCCGGACTGGACGAACCCAAATATTTCGGTATATGCAAGTTGGATTAAGCCTGTGCAAAATGATCCTCACAGTGCTCAATGCCTTGTGTTGTAATGGTCTTATATATTTAACCACCTCTAGAGTGGTCAGGGAATTTCACCTGAAATTGTCAGGGAAAGCCTGGAAAAGTCGGGGAATTTCAAAAGAATAATTTACTAGACACCCTGAATATCCCGTTTTTGTGGTGTGCAAGGAAAACGAAAATTCTGAAAATGTTCTGTTGGAGTGCCTGTGGACACTCTAAATGTGCTGAGACATACTGTTGAAAAAGGTTTTCCTATGATGTAACATGTCCGACGTTTATTTGACTCGTGGTACAATGTCGAACTACCTCTGTGTATGACTTGTTTTTGTGCTCTACCTATTGTTTTTTTTTCCTGTGAATTTTTTGTTTTTGTTCCTCTATCCACCCTTGAAAAGAGTAGACAGCCAAGGGGATGGTTTGGGTAATAAATCTGACAGGTTGGCTAAGAAACCTATTTTTTGGGATTTTTGACTATCTATTTGGTACAGTCACCTATCATAAATTGCCAGCTCCTGGGCAATGTACGAGATTATACCTTGACATGGCTTTTTCCTTTCATTAGATCTGTCTGAATTTGGGTCTCATGGTGGTTGTGTTTCGTACAGGTCCAGCACCTAGCCCTTATTGGGGGCAACGACGAAAAGGACACCACACGCCGGATCCTCTGTGCCCTTGTGAAGCACGACCTTGCCCTCAGGTTGAGCTGGTGTGGGTCCGGGGGAAAGAAAGAAGCTTTTGGAGATCTCCAAAACCTACGTACCGTCGTGCTTCGTAAGTAGTCCTTGAGCTTATTTAGGGATGCTGTGTGATGCAACGCTTGTCTCACAAATTACCTAACTATAAAGGCTGGCTTAGGCATTAACATTGGTTACATCAACAGTGACTAAAATAACGAGCGACAGAGGCACCAGGACAATTAAGACACTTTGATGATTTCCTGAACCCACTCGAATTGCTTATGTTGTTCACAGAATCCGCGAAATTAATTGGTCACGAATATGTCTCTCTGCACGATGCTCGAAAATATGGGCCACAAGGGCCCATATCTGACATTTTTTAGCAAATAGAAAGAACACCTTCATTTGAATATTCAAACCTGTATCCTCACTTATTTAAAAAACAACCAATATTAAAAAAAAAAGTACAGAAAGTAGTTTCTACGGTAACCAGAAACGGAGATCACATTGTATGCCTCAGCTTGAGGTACCTCATCTTGTCCCTCTTGCCTTGTCTGGACGCATTCTGAGCTGCAACAAGGAAATGCATTCTAGTAACCACAAAGAAACGAATAACATGATTTGTCACTTCGACAGTGTGCTCTGCACAGCCAACCAAGTTCAGTCTCTTTTTGGAGAGGCAGGAGATGGGAGATACCTTACGCTGTTCGCCCTCAACTTATTGAAGGTGAAACAGTATGTGATTCCATCTTCCATTATTTCAACTAGGTCCTTGAGTGCCTGGGACGGGTAAAGAAGGCCTCCCCTGTCCATGCACTTTGTCAGGCACGACTCCCCTGGGAGCGAGGGCGAATCCTTGGGCTGAAGAAGCAACCTCGAACACTCTTCGCACTTGGTTTTCTTCAACATTTTGCGGGCAGCATAGCCACTAACATAGTAGGTTATCCGAGAGTCGCTTTTTAATGCAACCGTGTCACCGTGCTCTGGCAATGCACTACATGCTTTTATCATCTCATGAGCCTCGTTCAAGTAGTCCGCATCCAAGAGATCGGCCAGCTTGTTTTGCAGTTTTGCCGGATCAGAGTTGCTGCGAGGATCAAGAAGGCTGTTTAAGAGTCCTTGTAAAATGTTGCCGCTTGTGGGTGACCGTGCTAAGCTGTAAAAGCTCAGGCAGTTCACTGAAATCAAGAACTGCGTCGGCGTGGGGTGGTCGTTGCAGCCTGACATCTGTCTCAAGATGCCAAACAGGTTCTCGATGGAGTCCTGACTGAGACGTGCGGTCATCAAATACTTGAATCCCAAAGTCTTTGTCACGTATGTCAGGAGCGAGAGTGTGCTTGCAAGAGTCACCCGAAAGCCTTCAGCTGTAGCTTGGCTCAAAAGCCCCAGCTTTCCAACAGTGGCTTCCTAGTTGTCAAGGTATTGTTGAAACCTCTTGATGTGCTTGACTTGTTCCATCTCTGGTCTCAAACCAGTTCGGCGGTGCCTTTGAAGTCATGGAAGTGATGAGGTCCCTCAGCATAGCGACAAACAATGAAGTGGCCACTGGGCTCCCAGGCCCATAACGGCTCTCCACTTCATGTCTATATACATAAAGGCCCCTCAGTACCTCGTCACTGAAGAATCTAAATGCAAGATTCACTCGCATCTTCTCGAATCCATTCGGCTGAAAAACAGCCATTGTTGCGTGCGGCATTGCTTTGAGAGGCACAGTACTTGCACTGTCGCACTTCCATGCTTCTTTTACGAATTCGCTGCTCACTCGTCCATCTGGAGTCTGAAGCCCTGTTGAAGATATAGAGTTCCGCACACATTTTACAAGGTGCGGGAAGTCTGAAATGAAGTGTAGATACCGGCTCGGGTCCACTGGATGTTGAACTTTACAGACTGTCTTCGTGAGCTTCCCGGCGACACCAAACATTTTCCACATACTCCTGTTCCAGGAGGCGGCATCGCATGTGATGAAATCAACAAAAAGTCCAGACCTCTCCGCAGAAATCACAGCATCCGCAACGATTCTGGACAGCACATCTGCCTTCACATTACCTCGTGCGCCAAAGACGCCGAGGATCTGCTGCCATTTTCCTGTGAACGGCTGAAACAGTACCACAAGCCCTTGTCGCAAGTGACACCTTCCTGACCCGCGGAGCTGTAGCTGCCGAGGTCAACAAATCTATCGATGAGTCCTTTTTTGTTGAACATCAGGCTTTCTGAAAGCTTCATCAACAAGAAAGAAGCCCTCCGTGTCGCCGGTATGGATTGATGTCCTTTGACTTCTTGGCTAGTGCTGCAGACACCTTCTCAATGAAGCCAAAGCTGCTTTTGTAGGTTTTGACGTATGTCTGTAGGCACGGAGGGCTTGGGACTACCACGAGCTTGTATGTTCGAATATGCTCGTACAGTCGAGGGCTCTTCATGTGCATGACAATGCACTCAAGTATCCATTCTTGATCAAACTTCATACCGTTGGTCCCCTTCCTCGTTGAAGCTTTGCAGCTGCTGCTTTTTGCAGCTGCTGCTTTTCGCAGCTGCTGCTTTTCGGACAGTCCTTCTATCTTCCGCTCAAAACTAGCGGTACTGGTGGACTCATTCTTTTCTTTATCTTTTCAATGTCTTTCTTCAGGTTTGCAATGTTGTGCTTCTGACGTCGAAGTTGCGCATTTTTTCTAATTACCTTTCGTGATGCCTCAACACGGGTCAGTTTTGCTCTTGTGCTCTTGTAAGAAGCCTGGTTCAACAGGAACCTGCATAGATATTTGCATTGCAGGCATCGCTTTTCATTTTGCGAAACTCCACCACATTTCACACTGTGAAGCTTGCCAGCATATATCTTGTGCTGTTTTTGTTTGCATCATGTCAATGCTCGTCACCATCTCGAACCCCTCACAAGGAACAAGGGTATTTATCTGCGAAAGCAGGTCCTTCACAGCATCAGCGCTGTCGACATCCACAGTTGTCACCACTGATCCCTGTACGTATGCGGTGCAGTGGATACTTGTCTCGCTAGTACAGCACAAAAGCAGCTTCTGAAAGCAGAGAGTTTCACCATTTGGTGCACACACTGAAAACGCTACGACGTTCGGTGCTTTTGGGATCGCGTGCTTAGCCCGGTATTTGCTTGGAAAATCTTCTTCTTTCATGCTCTCCAACTTTTCTTTGGTGCTGGGCTGCGTTACTGGTGTGATGTTGGCTGCAACGATGCGCTTGTCTTCACGAATGACGTCGTCCCTCTTTTGCTTTCGTGGCATGTCGCCGTTGGACGTCACCGACTTCCTCTTTGACAGCAGTTTCTTCGACAGGCACGCGGGGATGTTCGGAAAAAAAGTTGGGATTGCATTGGCTGTCAGGCAAGGGCGACCACGAGGAATTTCCACCGTCTCGCCGTTAATGACGTGCGTGTAGTTGCGAACTATGAATATCTCGTCAAAATGCCACAGTGCCTTCTCTGGCTCGCGCGGGCGCCTCATTGTCGATGCGCGCGCCACCTCTCATCGTCATGAAATACTAGCGCGCCTCCTTGCACGGCGCGGGCTAGGCGATTCTGACACCTCCCCCTTCTAGCCACCGTAACGTGTCCGCGAAAGACACCAGAGATGTGGAACGGCGGGAAGCGACCTGGTCCGGCTGGTTCCCGATTTTCCCACTTACTGGTGTCCGTTTTGCTGGAGTCGCGAATTACCTTCACACCATGTGATACATACACTGTTTCTTTTAGTAGGCTAATTTTATTCCGACATGACAGCGCTAGAAATGTCAACACGTATTGCGCTAGTCCCTTGAGAGCTACGCGATGCCTATCTAACCTTGCTCTGCCAACTGGTATGTCAGCATCGAGTTCCAGTTGTCTAGTGACAAGGTGTTCATGTCATAGGTGGTAAAAGATTGGTCCTAATGCCGTTACCAAGGCACAGCTCAACAGCATTGTTCCAGCACTTGAATCAAAACGCGTGCATGTCCACTCCAATTCTGATCAGGTATTCACGGTGGCTTTTGCTGCCACTCTTGTAGTTCAAACTTATCTTCCTGCATGTTGGCCTTCACCTGCATCCTCAAGACAACAAATAATGCTGCTGCGACTTGTTTTCATGTGTGTCACTTTTCACATGAGCTGTGTGGGCTATCTCCTTTAGCAACAATGGTAATTCTGTTGGCTTCGTCGCAATTGAGGTTGTAGGAGGCGACCGCCGCTGTTGAGCAGGGCATACTTAAGCAGTGAAAGTGGACACTGCGCACCACTCATCACTTGCTGCAAGGCGCACCACAGGCGCACCGCGCAAGTTTATCTGCATCGACCAGATCCGAGTGACATGACACCGCGAGAATATGACGTAGGGATGTTAGCACAGGTTACAATGGCTGCTGCTGCGCAGCGCCCATTTTCATTGCTCGTGTGTCCCCTGCCTCAGTCCAGCTCCAGTAAAGTTGGACATTCTGGTGCCCTTAGGTCATGCTAGCTTCAACATGTCTTTGCATGGACACGGTGCCGAAACAAGCGTTGACGGAAAGACTGCCACTTTTGTTTTGATGCAAAAGATCTGTGTGTTTCAAAGCATGCCGAGCTTCGGTTGGAGATTTGTGTTGCCAAAAACACTGTCGCCATAGCAAGAATCCGCTCCCGCGGTGATCGGGACATAGGAAGTTCACCTTTTCTGTTTGCTTCCTCTCAGTTAAAGGACACATGCAAAGGAAAAAAACATTTTTTTTGAACGGCTTAGATGGAAAAAGGACGCCATAAAACGATTTTACAACGAAGAAAAAAAATTTTTAGAGCTATATTTATGGCGCAAAACGAATTTGTAGTTGGCGCCCGCGGGCACCGCGGAGAAGTGGTCTGTATTTATCACGTGACTGGTCTTTATTTATCACGTGGTGCTTGCGTTCTTTCGGAAGCTTCCTATCGCCTCTAACAGTAACTTATTCATCTTTGTTTGAAGTAAAACAAAAAACTAAGATGAATAAGTAACTTTTAGAGCCCAAAGGAAACTCACGAAAAAGCGCAAGCAGACGTGATAGACCTGCGCGCCGGTCAGACGACGGCGGCGGCGCCCCGAAGCAGACGAACTTGTGCGGCGGCGGCGACGGCGGCGTGGAGAA